CTTTCAGGGGTGATCCCTGAGCACAGAGCCAGGAGTAACTCCTGAGCACCACCAAGTGTGGCCACAAAACAAAAACAAAATTGAAGGCTTGAGTTGGCAAGGAGCATATTCACCTTGCATGTGGCCAACCTGGGTTCGATGCCCAGTACTCCCTATGGTCCCCCCCAAACCCTGCTGAAGTGACCCCTGAGGACAGAGTCAGAAGTAAGTTCTAAGCACTGCTGAGTGTGGTTCCAAAACAAACAAACAAAAAAGTTGTTTGTTTGTTTTGCTTTTGGGGTCACACCCAGGGATGTTCAGGGGTTGCTCCTGGCTCTGTACCCAGGAATTACTCCTGGCGGTGCTTGGGGGACCCTATGGGACTCAGCCCGGGGATTGAACCTGGGTCGGTCGCCTGTAAGGCAAATGCCCAACCCACTATGCTATCGCTCCGGCCCCAAGATATTTATTTTAATGAGGGCTTGAGCCAGACAGATAGCTGAGTGCAGGGGTCATATACAGGAGCCTCAGTATGGTCCCCCAAACCCTGTGGGGAGCAGCCCTCAAGCACAGAGCTGGAGTAATCCCTGAACCCCACCCTGGGTGGCCCCCCAACGAAAATGAAGTGCTACTATTGTCACTTCCTTGTATACTGGGAGGTAGGGTGGTGATGAGGAAGACTGAGTCACGTGACCCAGTTCCAGCATTCTGTGAAACCAGTGAACTGAGAGGCCAGGGGATGGGGAGAGAAAAAGCCTTATTGGCTACAGGTCAGCAGAGGCGGGAACGGCAGCCTCACGTCCTAGAGAACAACCCTGTCTGTAAGGTCACAGGAGGTGGGTTATATCAGAAAAGAGCCCAGATGTTGGGGCCCGAGGGATAGCAGAGTGGGGAGGGCATTTGCCTGACACATGGCCAACCTGAATTCCATCCCCGGCATCCCATAGGGTCCCCTGAGCATGACCAGGAGCAATCCCTGAGTGCAGAGCCAGGAGTCAGCCCTGAGCATCGCCAGGTGTGGCCCCCAAATAAAAACAAACCAAAACAAAAGAACAGGGGAAGCATGTTTATGCCCAAATATAAAGTCATTAATTCAAAAAGTTATGGGGCTGGAATTATGGAGCACCCGGCAGTGCTCATACACCTGAGCATTGCCAGGTATGGCCAAAAAACAAAGAGAAAGGGAGGAGGGAGGGAGGGAAGGAGGGAGGGAAGGAAGGAAGGAAGGAAGGAAGGAAGGAAGGAAGGAAGGAAGGGGAAGGAGAGAGGGAAGGGAAGAAGGGAGGGAAGGGAAGGAGGGAGGGAGGAGGGAAGGAAGGAAGGAAGGAAGGAAGGAAGGAAGGAAGGAAGGAAGGAAGGAAGGAGGGAGGGAGGGAGGGAGGGAGGGAGGGAGGGAGGAAAGGGAAGGAAGGAAGGAGGGAGGGAGGGAGGGAGGGAGGGAGGGAGGGAGGAAAGGGAAGGAAGGAAGGAAGGAGTGAGGGAGGGAGGAGGGAGGGAGTGAGGGAGGGAGGAGGGAGGAGGGAGGGAGAAGGAAAGAGGGAGAGAGGGAGGAGGAAAGGAGAAGGAAGGAAGGAGGGAGGGATGAGGGAGGGAGGCAAGGAAGGAAGGAAGGGAGGGAGGGGAAGGAGGGAGGGAGGGAGGGTGGGAGGAAGGAGGAAGGAAGGAAGGAAGGAAGGAAGGAAGGAAGGAAGGAAGGGAGGGAGGGAGGGAGGAAGGAAAGGGAAGGAAGGAGGAAGGGAGGGAGGGAGGAAGGAAGGGAGGGAGGGAGGGAGGAAGGAAGGAAGGAAAGAAGGAAGGAAGGAAGGAAGGAAGGAAGGAGGGAAGGAGGGAGGGAGGGAGGAAGGAAGGAAGGAAGGAGGGAGGGAGGGAGGGAGGGAGGGAGGAAGGAAGGAAGGAAGGAGGGAGGAAAAGGAAGGAGAGAGGATGGAAGGACGGGAGCAAGGGATGCAGGGAGGGAGGGAAGGAGGAGAAGAAAGGAAGAGATGAAAAGAAGAGGAAAGAGAGAGAAAGGCAAAGGAGGGTGGGAGAAAAAGAAGGAGGGAGCATAAGGTTCGGACCACTTGTAACCAGTCTCCGGGTATGAAAGCAAAAGTTGATTTGAGCAGACAGCCAGGAGGGCACCCCAAGAGAATGCAGTGCTCTAGGTAGGAGCCCAGTGGCTTTTCCTGGTGCTGGGGAAGGGGTTCTTGCGGAGAGCGTCCCGCACACACAGCGCTCCGAAGGGTAAGGTTGGCACCTGGCAGCTGGCCCAATGCTTGCTGTAGGTGTCTTGTTTTCCTGCAGTCCCACTGTGTGGGCACCCGATCTTGTCCGCTTCTCCCAGGAGCCCTTCACTCAGGTTCCTTTGTGTCCGCTCTTCAGGGAGGGAGGAAGGCAGGGAGGATGAGAGAGAATGAAAAGAGAGGGCCTGAGAGACAGGACAGCTGTCAGAGTATTTGTTTTGTTTTGCTTTTTGCTTTTTGGGTCACACCTGGCGATGCACAGGGGTTACTCCTGGCTCTGCACCCAGGAATTACTCCTGGCGGTGCTCGGGGGACCATATGGAATGCTGGGAATCGAACCTGGGTCGGCCACGTGCAAGGCAAACGCCCTCCTCGCTGTGCTATCACTTCAGCCTGGCAGAGCATTGGTCTTGCACATGGTTAACCTGGGTTCGATCCCCGGCACCCCAAGAGTCCCCGGGGCCTGCCAGGCGAGATCCCTGAGCACAGAGCCAGGAGTCCCCCTGAGCATCACTGGGTGTGCCTCCCTCCAAAGAAAAAAAGAGAGGGAGTGGAGCAAGAGCAGAGCGGGAGGGCCTTTGTCTTGCACGTGGTTCACCCAGGCTCCATCCAGACACCCCATGTGGTTCTGAAGCAGCACCAGGGCTGATCCCTGAGCACAGACCCAGGAGTTACCCTGGAGCACTGTTGGGTGTGACCCAAAAACCAAGAAGCAAGAAAGAAAATAAGAAAGGAGGAAAGAGGGTCCGGAGCCACGTACAGCAGGTAGGGCGTTCCATCCCCAGCATCCCATAGGGTCCCCCCAATCACTGCCAAGACTAATTCCTGAGTGCAGAGCTAGAAGTAACCCCTGAGCATCGCTGAATCTGAACCCCCCAAAAAAATCAAAGGAAAAGAAAGGAGAGAAGAGAAATAAACAGAGACAGATAGAGCCAGACTCAGACAAAGCCAGGTCCTGGGAAAGAGGCCTCTATAGAAGGGTACAGTGACCTCTCGTGGAAGGCTGCGCTCCTTGCAAACATCCTGGCTGGCTCCTGGACAGCGGTGCTTCCAGAGAACCGGGTGCTCTCCGTGAACTGGGGGTGGAGAGTGGGGGCAGTCACGTGCTTGCGAAACACAGATTTCCCCCCAAAACACCAGCTGGCTTGGTGCTCCACTGGAAATTGTGCAGTGCTCTGCAAGAGAAAGGAATGTGCGGCCCACAGAGGACTGCCCTCAGGCTGAAAACTGATAACCTTCTGGCCAACCCGCGGTTAGAGTCCTCTCAGAGGTGAGATCTCACACTTCCCCGGAAAAAGCCTCTAAGCACTTAGACCCAAACGCTGGAGATAGAGCCTGCCTAGCCTTTAAGGGGTAGAATTCCTGCGGAAACGGAGGTGGGGAAGAGCTGGAGAGAGAGCACGGAGAGCGCTGGACTTGCACGCTGCCCACGCTGGTTGGGTCCCCAGCACCCCAAAGGGTCACTTGAGTCCAGCCAGAAGTAAGCCCTGAGCACAGCCAAGGAAAAAAAGGGAGGGGGAGGAGCAATGACCTGGAAACTCTTATAAGAAAAATGTGCCCGTTTTCTGCCTCTGCTTCTGAGCTCTTTTATTCTTTTTCTATTTATTTATCTATTTATTTGGTTTGGGGTCACACCCAGTGATGCTCAAAGGTTACTCCTGGCTCTGCACTCAGGAATTACTCCTGGCGGTTATCAGGGGGCCAATACGGGTTGGCCTCCTGCAAGACAAGCGCCCTCCCTGCTGCAGCATCTCTCCAGCCCCTGCTCCCTGAACTCTTTCACCAGAGACTGGAAGCGGACAGGGAAGACACCGAGCCGGCAGCCAGGGGAGCCAATGCTTGCAGGATCCGCTCACTGTTGGGTACACGCTTGGGAGACTCTCAATGCGTTCGCCGCTTTTGCAGGAGACCGCGGAGAGTTGCCAAGGCACTTCGAGAAAGCGACGTTTGCAACACAAAGACATCGGCGGCTCCCGTTCAGCTCGGCGGCGGGCCGGGGTAAATTTTTACTAAGAAAAAAAGGCAGGAGCAGATGGGAGGCAGAGAACTCGGCGGGGGGGAATGTGCACTGGTGAAGGAACGGGTGTTGTAACATTATGTACCTGAAACCTAATCATGAACAACTCTATAACTGCGTATCTCACCGTGATTCCGTTTAAAAATTAATTAAGATTTTAAAGAAAGAAAAAGGGAAGGAGGGGTGGAGAAGCGAAACGTCCAGTGGGATCTAACGCTTATTGCAAAAGGACGCGCCTCCTTTTCCAAGACGCGAAACTCGCTGGCGGGGCTCTAAGAACCTGGGGGGGCCTTGCTCTGGCACATTCCCATCCTAAACAGGTGGAAAGGGGGCGCGAGGAAGAGCCCCGCGCGCGCACACGCGCAACCTCTGCATCTTTGCGCCCGCTCGGCGTCAGGGCAGGTCCGGCCGCGCGGCCACGCCCCCCGCACGCGTAGCCACGCCCACTCCCGGTCCAAGTCGCCGGAGCAACTCCGGGGGCTTAAACGACCCCCGCACCACGCGCGCTCACGGTCGCTCCTTTGTTAGCGAAGTGGGCCGGGCCCTTTAAGGGCCCCCGGCGGCCGGAAGTGGAAGTGGCGTCACGGGCTCACGCGAGTTTTCCTCGGGTGACTCTGCATTGTGGGAGCTCAGCGCCCGGATCAGCCCGCGGGGGAAGTCGGCGCGGGAGGCGCCCCGGGCTGGATTGCGGCGCCGGGCCGGTGCCCCGCGACCCCTGAGGACCCCCGAGCCCCCCGGGCCGTCGCCCCCTCTCCGCACCGCCAGGGCCACCACCTCCAGCCAGGGGAGCTGGTTACAGCGAGGTGTAAGGAGGGGTGCACGCCTCCCACGTGCTCCTCGGGCATTGCAGAAGCCCCTCCAAAAGTAACCCTTGGCTCTTTGTCTAGGAGCAAGAGCGTCTCAGCCTCGCGTGTCAGGTGCCCTCGGACTGGTGGGCCCCGCGGGTTGGTGAGTTCTTGAGCACTGGGGGTTCCTGTGGCCTCTTCCCGGGTCCCGCAAAGTTCGTCTCTGCACGCTTTGCAGGGGGTCGTGCCCCTGGGGCCCCCCTCGGCATTGCTCCCGCCACTGTGGGGGTACCCCCCGCAATATCTGGCCACATGCATTGGGGCTTGAGGTTTGCAAGCCCGACTGGGGGCGGGGGGGCGGGCCCCAGGGGTGCGCGCCGCGGTGCAGACAGTGGCCACAGCGGGCAGTTCTGCAGCTTCTGGGCGCCCACTGTCCAGCTTGGCGCGCTCATCGCAGCAGGACACTTTCTTGGGAACACAGAGGGCTGCACCCTGCGGTTCTGGGAGTGACAGGGAGCCAGCGTGCTGTTCTGCAGCTGAACTTTCTGGCTGGGCGTGTACTTGATTGAAGGGGAAAGCAGGTGCACACCCAGCGGTACTCAAATGCTACTTCTGGCTTTGTGCTCAGGGGTCCGACCCTGAGAGATGCTTATGAGGTGCCAGAGGATGATGGAGAGCAAGGCAAGCGCCTTAACTTACCCTGCCCAGTCAACCCAGCCCCACATCCTTGATTTACTTTAAAGTGTTACCTGTAGGTAGAAATTGATTCTAGAGGGGCTGGAGACTTTAGTCCAGCAGATAAGGAGCTTGCTTTGCACGCAGCCCACTGAGGCTGGACCTCTGGCGTCCCATGGGGTCCCCTGAGTACTGCTAAGACTAATTCCTGAATGCAGAGCCAGGAGCATCACCAGGAGCTTAAAAGAAAAGAGAAATTGGAGAAATACAGCAATGAGGGGGGTTGCCTTGCACTTGCCCCACCTGGGTTCGGTCCCCAGCATCCCATATGGTTCCCCAAGGACCGCCAGGAGTAATTCCTGAGTGCAGTCAGGAGTAACCCCTGAGCATCGCTCGTGCAACCCAAAAAGCCAAAGAAAAGAGAAGAAAGTGGTCATATGAAGATGTGTGATTTCTGATATAAGAAGTCTGCAAAGGAAAATCTATGTATACTCACCTATGCCATCCTTTAAATGTTCTCTGTAGATAAACAAAGATAAGGAGGGACCTTCAGAAGATGGGGGGGAAGGAGAGGTTGGCCCATCATTTTGACACCATTGAATAAGTGAGTTTATTGTGTGTGTGTGTGTGTGTGTGTGTGTGTGTGTGTCACACCTGATGATGCTCAGAGGTTTCTCCTGGCTCTGCACTCAGGAGTTCCTCCTGGCGGTGCTCGGGGACCATATGGGATGCTGGAAATCGAACCCAGGTCAGCCATGTGCAAGGCAAACGCCCCACCCGCTATACTATCACTCTGGGCTCATAAATGAGGTTAGTATAAATTAAATAACCATTAGTAGGATGTTTAGGCTAAGTGTATCTGCCTCTCACACACATTATTCTTGTCCAAAATTATAGAGGAAAAAAATCTTATGGCCCCCAAGGAAATTTACCTGGCCCAGCTGATTTTCCATTTTGGGGCAGCTAGCGGATTTTCTTTCTCCCACTCTGTGTAAGCAAACACAAAGGTAAACATGGGGATTGGCCTCTAAATTCTTTTTGGTGTTTGGGCCACACCCAGCAGAGCTCCTGGCTCTGCACTCAGGGATCCATCCTGGTGTGGGACAGTGCGATAATTCCCTATCCTCTGCAGTATCATTCTGGCCACCTAATTGGCCTCTGAATTCTTGGTCAAGCATTTCCTAAAGATAAGGACCTGACCCTGGCTCACTGAAGATAAGATGCTGTCTGGGAATTGCTCGGAGGGAAACCCGGGAGGGCCGCTTCTCCCAAAGGTTCTTGGCTCCGGGCCCCAGGCAAGGAGGTGCTATGGCAAGAGTTTGTGTTTTCTGGGCTTTGTGACCAAGAGACGAGAGACATCACAGCCGCTTGGGAAAGTCCCGCGAGTTCCGGTGCCACTGGTGGATGACTCTGATTTGCCTCTGACCACCGGCCTCAGCATTTGCGCCTTGCAGAGTGCCGGGAATGTGGGCAGCCAGGTGGGCCCACACCTGGCCACAGGCTCCCAACACGGCCAACCCGGGTTCAGTTCTGGGTTTCTCACCGGGTTCCCCTCCCCCAACCACGAGTGATGCCTGAGCACCACTGGGAATGACCCCAGCCACCACCACCACCCACCCCCCCAAAAAATAACATTTTGCAGCCTACCTGTGCATCTGATTTTGGGAATGATATTTGGGGTTTTGGTTTGGTTTGGTTTGGTTTGGTTTGGTTTGGTTTTGGTTGGCAGGCCATACCCAGGTGGTACTTAGGGCTTATTCCTGATTCTGTGCTCAGGGATTACTCCTGGCTGGACTTGGAGAACGAACCAATATAGGGTGCCAGAGTCAGCCAAATGCAGGACAAATGCCTTACCCTCTCTACTATCACCATAAAAAGCAATATTAGCATTGATATAGTACGTATCATAACTTGGAAATCAGTAATGAATGGTCCCAGTGTTAGCCAAGGTATTTGTGTCTGTTTAATTAGACTGTGGAACAAAATCGAATTTTGTTATTCCCATATAAAGCAAAGCCCATGAATTATGTGATAGCGCAGTGGTAGGGCATTTGCCTTGCACGCAGCCAACATGGCCGACCCGAGTTCAATTTCTCCGCCCCTCTGGGAGAGCCAGGCAAGCTACCGAGAGTATCTTGCCCGCACGGCAGAGCCTGGCAAGCTACCCGTGACGTATTCGATATGCCAAACACAGTAACAACAAAGTCTCCAATGGATACATTACTGGACCTGCTTGAGCAAATCGATGAACAACGGGAGCACAGTGACAGTGACAGTGAATAAAGTTAAAAGGAAATTTCCTAGAAGTTCACTAGAAAGGGGTGGGGGCTGGAAAGATAGTACAGTGGGTAGAGTGCTTGCTTGCCTGGCATGCAGGCAACCTGGGTTTGATCCCCAGCACCCCATGGGGTGACCGGAGTGACCCCCGAACACTTCTGGGGGTGCCCCATTTGGAGTCAAGGAACTGTAGATAGCACAGTATGGCACATAAGCATCAATCTGTTTCTGGTCTGTGTGTTTTCCTGTTTGTGCAGACCTGTGGTGAAACTTAATTTCTCAAGTAGGAGCAGAGAATCTGAGCCATAAATGGCAGAGAGCAGCCCTGCAGCAGTCGGGAGGGTGGGTGTATCCAAGTGGGGTTCGGTGCAGGGAGGGGCTCATTCCCCAGGGGAGACACAGCCCAGTTCAGGGTCTCTTTGGATGCTCAGAATGGCCCATGTGATTTAGGAAGTGAGGAGATAGGACAGTGGACAGAGCTTGCCTGCACCAGACCTACCAGGATTTGTTCCCCGCACCCCATATGGTCCCCTAAATTCTGGGAGGAATGACTCCTGAGTGTAGACCCAGGAGTAATCCCGGAGCATTACTGAATGTGGCTCAAAAAAATAATATTTATAGATATGTCTGTGTGTGTATGTGCTTGTTTTATTTAGTGTTTTTAGGCAGTTTGAAAAGGGGGGAGAGCAGAGAGATAATACAGGGGTGACAGGTGCTTGCCTTGTATATGGTGGGTCAGGATTTGATCCCTGGCACTCCCTGTGGTACCCCCAGCACCACCAGCAGTAAGTCCTGAGTGCCCCCCCTCCAAAAAAAAAAAAAAAGACTCAGACCTACCACTTTTGCTTGCATAATACTTTTGCTTGTACCCGTTTTCCAAATACGTTGTTTGAGTATTTGGTTTCTCATCTGGGGCAACTGTTAGCGTCCAAGTAAGTAAATATTTGACAGTTTTTAGTGGTTAATGATTGCCTGGAGCAGGACCCCAGGGAAGCCAGTCTCCAGGGGGTTGGAGCTGATCCCTCACACAGTGACCATGGGTGGGGGAGGGAAGTGTCCCAGCCTGACCCCACTGCAGTCTCATAGGAGGGCGGCGTAGGTTTTATCCCACAGTCATTCTTAGCCCCCTGGTTCCCAGACTGCAGAGATTGGGCTCACCGACCCGTCCAGACCTGCTCCTCCATCGGGGCCTGTGCACTGAGGCTTAAAGGGGGACCGGGGAGGTCGCTCACTGGGTTGAGGGCCGCTGGGTGAAAAGGGCAGGTTGCATGTAAGACAGGCTGTAGAGGGGCGGGGCCACTGGTGAAAAGGGCCAGTTACATGCAAATAGAGCTGTTGAGTAGTGGAAAGGGCCAGTCACATGTAGAAGGGCTGTAGGTGGGCGGGGCCACTGGTGGAAAGGGCCAGTCACATGTAGAAGGGCTGTAGGTGGGCGGGGCCACTGGTGGAAAGGGCCAGTCACATGTAGAAGGGCTGTAAGTGGGCGGGGCCACTGGTGGAAAGGCCCAGTCACATGTAGAAGGGCTGTAGGTGGGCGGGACCACTGGTAGAAAGGGCCAGTCAGATGTAGGAGGGCTGTAGGTAGGCGAGGCCACAGGTGAAAAGGGCCAGTCACATGTAGATAAAGCTGTTGAGTGGGCCGGGCCACTGGTGGAAAGGGCCAGTTACTATCAATCCATTGAGTTGCTGGGTGGGCGGGGCCACTACCTGCTCCCCTTCCCAGCTTCTGTTGGCGTGACAGCCCCAAGACTGAGCCGTGGGTCTTTCTGTGCTAGGACGCTTTCTCTTCTTGGGGGCCTCCAGCTGAGACGCGGGGGTGGGGAGGAGGGACTGCGCCGGTATGACCCGGCCTACCTGCGTGCCAGCCGTTACCTGGGCATTGCGGGGATGTTTGAGGGTTTCCGGCCGGAGCATAGAGACGCACACACAGGATTGGGGGCAGAGTGTCCAGCAGTGGGTTTGTCTGCGTCCCCATGATCTCACCGACGAGGAGAAGGTGATCCTGATGGACGACCACTGGGTCAGGAGGCCCCCCAGGAGAACTGGCACTTCTCAGTATGTGACCAGAAAGGAGCGGCCTGGGGGTCAGAGAGATGCTTTCTGGGCAGGTGCACAAATGGGGTAGATCCTGACCTGCTAACTATCCTTCTTCATTCAGCTTTCGATGGGCGAAGAGGCCACAATGCCCTGGCACATTGGCACTAATGTGGCTTTTCTGTTTGAGCAGAGTCTCGGCATGTATAAGCCCAGCATGATTTCCTGGTTGGAGCAGGAAGGCCTGAGGACAGTGGAGAGGGGCGTCCTCCAAGGTCAGTTTGCTCCATGGGCTCCTGATGTTCTCTTATAATCACAGAATTGCCTGTTAATGTTTAAAATGTAGAGTTTGGGGCCGAGCTACCACTCAGCAGGTGGGATGCTGGCCTTGCCCACGGCCAAACACAGTTGCATCCCCAGCACCCCACATGGAGTGATCCCTGAGCACTTCCAGGTGTGCCCCTCAAAAAAAATGAAATTGCGGGGGGCTGGAGCGATAGCACAGCAGATAGGGCGTTTGCCTTGCACATGGCCGAGCTGGGTTTGATTCCCAGCATTCTATATGGTCCCTCAAGCACCACCAGGAGTAATTCCTGAGCACAGAGCCAGGAGTAACCCCTGTGCATTGTTGGGTGTGACCCAAAAAGCAAAAAAAAAAAATTTGTTATCATTTTGTCCTTAATTTTATTCATCCATCATTGAATTGCAGTCAAATCTAAATTTTTCAGGAGAATGGTTCAAGTGAGCCTCCTTGATTTTTCTCTCATTCAGCACCATCTCCTTTTGCAAACTCTTAAATTTCACATTCTCTTCTCTTAGGGTGGGAACTACAGCTACAAAACAGAGAGTCTGCGCTTGAGCCCTTTGATGCTGAAAAGGAACCAACCATTAGGATAAAAACAGTAAGAGCTGGAAGGATGGACACAGGGCTTCCTTATTCTTCATGTTGGAAAGGTTCTGAGGGGGCCAGAGCAATAGCACAGTGAGTAGGGCATTTGCCTTGCACGTGGCCGACCCGGATTCGATCCCCGGCATCCCATGTGGTCACCCGAGAACCGCCAGGAGTAATTCCTGAGTGCAGAGCCAGGAGTAACCCCTGTGCATCGCCAGGTGTGACCCAAAAAGCAGGAAAAAAAAAAGGATCTGAGGTTTTCCACAGCTTGGAATAGGAAGTGACCGTGTCAGAGAGACCTCGCCCCCTGAGAGGACGCTGTCTCTGAGGAGGCCCAATCTGGGGATTCCTCACATCCAGCTAGACACATTCAGCCCGCATAGTTCCTGCAGGGACTGATCCCCCAAGATAGCAAGATGTTGGGTAACCCAGAGTTCCCTGGCCACCATAGATGGACTCTCCAGATCAGAGTTATAAACGCCTGAGGCAGGAAGTTCCTCATTCACCGAGGGCGGGAGGTGTGTGTCCTGGGAATGGTGAAAGGTCAAGTCCGAGGGCCAGAGCCATAGGACAGCAGACAGGCACTTGCCTTGCACGCAGCGGACCTGGGTTCGATCCCTGGCACTGCATAGAGTTCCCCAAGCCCCACCAGGGGTCAGCCCAGAGCACGGTCGGGTGTGGTCCAAAAACCAAGACAGAGATAAGAAATCTTGGTCGGAGTTCAGGCCAGTCTTGGAGGAGGGAGGAAGGGAGCGTGCAGCAGGGCCTGGCCGGTGTCCGGGTGACGGTGTCTGTGTTCTCTCCAGGAGCGGATCGAGGAGTGGGAGGTGTACGAGTGCGCGCAGTACGGGAAAGACTTCGGCGGCCCCGGGGAGACGACGCCTGGCGGAGAGGCCACCTCGGAGGATGAGGAGGGCGGGAAAGGCCTCCTGGGCCCCAGGCGGAGACCGTCCCCCGGGAAGGCCTTGCTGGAGTCCGCGGGAGCGGATGAGGCCTCGGACCGTAAGCCCTTATACTGCAAAGACTGCGGTGTGTTCTTCCTCAACGCCGCCTGCTACCGCGTCCACCAGCAGGTCCACGCCGGCGCCGGCCCCTTCCGGTGCCAGGAGTGCGGCATCGACTTCAGCTGTGCTGCGCACCTAAGCGTCCACCTGCAGGCGCATGCCGAGACTGGCGGCTACGAGCGTGGGGCCGCGACGGACGCCCGGATGCAGTCTCCCGAGGCGGCCGCCGAGGCACGGGGGGCGGAGGACGACGACGACACCGAGGAGAAGACCTTCAAGTGCGACAAGTGCTGGCGGGCCTTCAGCACCTTCTCCAAGCTCACCACGCACTTCCGCACGCACACGGGTGAGAAGCCCTTCCAGTGCAACGTGTGCGGCAAGACCTTCACCACCTCGTCCTACCTGAGCATCCACAAGCGCGTGCACACGGGCGAGAAGCCCTACGTGTGCCAGGAGTGCGGCAAGGCCTTCACACAGTCGTCGGTGCTCACCAAGCACCTGCGGGTGCACACGGGCGAGAAACCCTACAAGTGCAAGGAGTGCGGCAAGGCCTATGTGAAGTCGTCGGGGCTCATCGAGCACATGAACGTGCACACGGGCGAGAAGCCCTACACGTGCCGCGAGTGCGGCAAGGCCTTCGTGAAGTCGTCGGGGCTGACGCTGCACATGAAGATCCACACCGGCGACAAGCCCTACCAGTGCGACAAGTGCGGCCGCGCCTTCTACTCCTCGTCCAACCTCACCAAGCACTTCCGCACGCACACGGGCGAGAAGCCCTTCCAGTGCAACATCTGCGAGAAGACCTTCACCACCTTCGCCTACGTGGCCATCCACAAGCGCTCGCACACGGGCGAGAAGCCCTACGTGTGCAAGAAGTGCGGCAAGGCCTTCACGGCGTCCACGCGCCTCACCAAGCACCTGCGCTCGCACAACGGCAAGAAGTACGAGTGCGAGCTGTGCGGGAAGAGCTTCGCCAAGGCCTCGTGCTTCCTGGGCCACAAGCGGGGCCACGCGGGGGCCGGGGCCTGCGCCTTCCTGGACGCCGCCAAGGCGCCGCCCGAGGAGAAGCCGTTCGCCTGCGCCGAGCACAGCCCGGGCCCGGGCCACGGCAAGCCAGCGGGGCTGGACAGCCACGCGCGCGGCCACGGCAAGGCCTTCGGCAAGGCGGCCGGGCTGGGCGAGCACGCCAAGACCCAGGCGGGTGAGAAGCCGTACAGGTGCCCCGAGTGCGGCTGGGCCTTCGGCAAGGCCCCGGGGCCGGGCGAGCGGCCCTTCGCCTGCGACCGGTGCGGCCAGGCCTTCGCCTCCGCGACCCCCGTCGCCACGCACTTCTGCTCGCTCGCGGGCGAGAAGCCCTTCCCGTGCAACGCCTGCGGCAAGGCCTTCGCCTGCTCGTCCTACGTGGCCGTGCACAAGCGCGCGCACGCGGGCGAGCGGCCCTACGAGTGTCGCAAGTGCGGCCGCGCCTTCGCCACGTCCTCGTGTCTCCTGAAGCACCTGCGCTCGCACACTGTGTAGACGGGGGGCCCCCCGCGACGCTGGCAAGCCCGCCCACCCCATCCCCCGGGGTCCGCTGTGCCTGCGGGCTCGGTGCCCCTGCGACCCTCGACGCGCTTCGGCCCTCCGTGGGAACCCGCTCCGTTTTCTGCGTCGTTCTTTGGAATGGCCCGGCGTCCTTTCTACTCGTGGGAAAGATGCAGGAGCGGCAGCGGGGGGGACGCCCCCACGCCCCCTTCCCCGCTCCCCACCCCCACTTCTCCACATCTCCCCTCCGACCTCCGGGCTCACGGGATCCGACCAGGTCTGGGGGTTCCCAGCAGATGGGTCTCCCCAAAGGGCCGGGTGCTCTCTGTTGGGGGAGCGGCCAGCCTGCCTCTGCCCCGTTTCTCTGGGACTCCGGGCCAGACCACGCTGTTTCCCTCAAGACTGAGAAGGCGGGAGGGGCTCCTGGCCCTCGGGTCAGTGGCACCTGGAGCATGGGAAGCAGTGGCTTAGGGAGCTGGGGGGCCGTCCGGTCCACCCTGCGGTGAGGTCCTCCTGGGAGGGGCCATCTTCAGGCACTGGCTGCCACATCCATGAGCGTGGACACTACAGTCCTGGTTCCGCAGGACCTAGGGATACAGGGACGGTCCCCGGGAGTGTGATAATGCCTCAGTGGCTTCTCAGATGAGTCTGGGGCGCCCTATGGGTGGGCTTGGGACAGACCCGGGTTCACGCCCGCCTCTGCCTCGAGCATACCAGCACAAACTGGTTGTGACCTGTCCCCAGCAGGCCTCTGTGCGCCCCCCCAGGTCGCTAGGACTGGCCATCCACCCACAGGGAGGGACTCACCCTGGCCAGGGCAGCACGTCTGGTGTGTGTGGAAACCGCAGGCTTGAGTCATGAGCCTCTACCCCCGAGAACAGCAGGGTCACTCCCCGAGCTTGGGGTTGGTGGGAAGGAGTCAGAGCCCCCCACCTCGAGGTAGAGGATGTTCCAGCTTTGTGTCCTTGGAGGGGGCCAGCACCCCCATCCAGGAAGGAAGCGGGAGGGTTGCAGGTGCTTATCCCCCCAAATACGCTGCCCAGCCGGGCCAAGCCTGACCCCCACCCCCACGCTGCTGCCTTTATCCGAGATGCAAGTCCAGGTGCTCGTCTCCCTGAGTGAGGACCCCCCTTTGTCTAGGATTGGAGGGTGGCGATGAAAAGCGTCCAGATGATGAGCGGGTGGCGGGGAGGTCAGTGTGCGTTTGCTGGTTGCCTAGTTTGTGAGGTGGGGTGAGGCCGTGGGGGGCCCGAGTCAGGGTTTTGCATGTGAAGTGGACATACTCGTGTGAGTCTCTGGGACTGGGGGTTCCCCAACCCCCCCCCCCGCCACTGGGAGGGGCTCATCCCAGCCAAGACCCCCGCCCTCCCCCACACACAAAGGTATCCAGGTCGCAAAAAGACCAACACAGTGATTCACACACCAGCGGTTCAGTCCCGCGAAGGGGAAGTCCCTTGTGGACCACCGGGTTCCGGCCCACCTCGAGGCTTCGCGGAGACCTCAGCTTCCGGTTTGTCTTCCGTCCATCCGTCCGTGTGTACGGGTGCCTAACCCAGTGCTTCGGTTGCTGACACTCCTTCCGTCATGTGGTTCTTTCCCCCTAGTTTGCCTCCTGAACCAAGCCCCACAGCGCCCCAGGACACTGGCTGGGGGAGGGGGGCCTGGCAGCTGTTTGCAGGTCTCAGCTCTCACCTGGCAGGGGAAGGAGGGGACAGCAGTGGTGCAGGGGTCCCGGGCACGGGGCTCGGGGCCCCTCACTGCTCCCCCCATATACAGCCCAGCCCGGGCCCTAGTTTAATTTCTCTTTTTTTTTTTTTTTCGAGCTTTTGGGCCACATCCAGCACTACTCAGGGCTTACTCCTGGCTCTACACTCAGGGATCACTCCTGGTGGTGCTCGGGGGACCCCTGGAGGGGCACGAACCTGGGTGGGGTGGGTGCAAGGCCCGTGCCTCCCCACTGTCCTAGCGCTGCAGCCCCCCGGGCCTCAGTTTAGCACTGAGGAAGCTCTGGCGGGGGTGAGTGAGCACGAAAGCCACGTCCACGGCAGTATGTGCTGCCCAGCACCCCTGTGGGGGGCGGCCCAGGGCACCAGGGAACCTGTGACATGGACCTTGGGGAAAGCAGATCACCTCAGCAGGCCCCGCTGCTGGCAGCCAGGCCTGGGAGCAGCCACACTCTGGGTGGGGGGACACGGAGGACAAGTTACAGGCCGTGCCCTGGGCTGGGTCCCACAGCAGGGTTCCCACGCCGGACCCCCAAACCAGGAGCACAGGGCGCTGTGGCAGGGGCCCCACCTTTGCCATGGAGCCCCCCACTGAGGGCTCGCTGTGACCAGGCCATGTTGAGAGTCGGGAACTGGTGCTACAGCCCAGCCCGAAGGTGCCACCAAGTGCCCCCACAGACCCCGCCGCCACCTCGGCTCACACCAGCTCCCCCTGCATCCTGAGCCCGGGCCTGGGCTTGATGTCACATGGCTCAGGAGGGCAGGAAGCAGACAGATGCTCCCAGAGTGCTGGGAGAAGCTGAGCCCAGCAGGGACCTCAGAATCGCTGGCTTCCTGCCTGCCCACCAAGGCCCCCTCCCCATCAGAATATCAGGCAGGACACGGGGGTAGGGGCACATGACAGGTGGAGAAACTGAGGCATAAGGGGAATGGGTGGGGCAACCTTTGAGCCTAAGTAGGCCGGACCCCTCCCCCCTTCACAGAGGGGACGTGGGGGAACGGGGGGGGGGGGGGCAGAAGCACAGGTTCGCCGGCTTCTCTGCTCCCCACAGGAAGTTTGGAGAGATGGTCGCCCAGAACCCAGACATGCAGGCCTCAACCCCAAGGACAAACCTTCTAGAAGCACAGACAGGCCCTGTGGGGAGGGAGTCCTGGGAGGCTAGGAACTCAGGGTTTGGCAAAGGAAGGGGTGCGCATTGAGTGGGCACCAGGCACTCCCACCTGCCCCCCGGATCGTATGGTCCCAGACATTGGGGCAGAAGGAACCTGAGTCAGCCTTTCCCCACCTGCCTCCAAGGCCCAGTCTCGGGGGGCGGTGGAGGGGTAGTCCCTGTTAGGACAGGGCAGCTGGCAGGCCTGGGGACCTGCCTGGGATGCCCAGGGGGCTAGGTCCAGCCCCCCACGTATTGTCCCAGCAGGTCCCCCAGTGCAGGTGCGGTGATGTTCTGGTTCAGCCTGTGGGTTTGATGAGTTTCCAGGGGGGACTCTGAGATACGTGTGTATATGTGCACGTGTGCGTTTTGCCTCTGTTTGTGAGGTGCTTCTGCAAATGCAGGGTCTGCTTCCATCAGGGGTTTGCAGGCTCTCGCTGTCACTTCACGTGGGATGGGAGCATATCTCGGAGAGAACTATACCCCCATTCTCCCCCCTGGTTTCACCTTCTTCCTTCAAAGGACTCTTTCTTATTGTCTCAAAACAACCACCAATGACAGACCACATTTCATTCAGGACTGTTGAGAATTTTGTACCAAGCTCTCCCTTTTATTGTTCTCTGTCAGTTTTCTAGTGTTCTATGTCTGATGCATTTACCCTTTGTCTAGATCATCGTGCCCCTGCAGCCTTGTGAAATATATTCATTTGGAAAATGCCTCTGAGTGTCTGCCTTCCGAAAGCTTCGCTTGACCTTCCTAAGGGACAAGAATAGTTTCTTGGCGGGGCTGGAGTGATAGCACAGCAGGTAGGGCATTTGCCTTGCACGTGGTCGACCCGGATTCTATTCCCAGCATCCCATATGGTCCCCTGAGCACCGCCAAGAATAATTCCTGAGTGCATGAGCCAGGAGTTACCCCTGTGCACTGCCTGGTGTGACCCAAAAAGCAAAAAAAAAAAAAAAAATAGTTTCTTGGGGCCAGAAGAGGGGAGGATGCTTACCTCGCATGGTGGCTGACCTGGGTGCAATTCCCAGCATCCCATAGGGGCCCTTCAGTCCCATCAGGAGTGAATCCCTGAGCTCAAAGCCAGGAGGAAGCACTGAGCACCACCGGATGTGGCCCAAGGTCAAAATAAGAATGATTTCTCTCATCCTGGTCATCAGCAACAAAAACAATCCACAGCCTGCAAGGGTCCATTCCACGAATGTCAGCCCTGGGTGCCAGGTTCCCATTTTGGTTTTGTTTTGGGGACCACACCCAGCATTGCTTGGAGCTTCCTATTGACTCTGCAGTCAGGAATCACTCCTCCAACCCTCCAGGTTTCAATTTTGGAACAATTGCAAAGCCAGGATTCTATGGTCCCGTGTGGATCGGGCTAGCAAACTTCCATTTCATCTCAAATCTTACTTTCCTGGTGATGCATTGGGTGGGGGAGGGGGGGTTGCAGGAGTGGTTCTACACCCTGCTCTGCTTAGGGCTTTCTCCTCAGGGCTTCTGACTCTGCACTCAGAAATTACTCCTAGCTGGGCTAGGGGGAGCTCATAGGGTGCCAGGGATTGAGCCTAGGTTGGCCGCATGCAAGGCAAAGCCCTACTCACAATACTATGCCTCCAGCCCCTGCACTTTTTTTTTTCTTTTGGAGAGGGCTCAAAAGAAAACTGGCTTGGCTCTTGTGACCTGGGGCATTGTGATAACTGAAACAAGCCCCTCCACCACCAGTCCTACTACTTTTTGCTTTTTCTGCACCTTTGTTCTCTTATGAATCTTAACAGCGTGTGCTCAGTTCTTTCACTTGCAAGAAAATGAATCTGGTCATCTTAAGTCTGTGGCTTGGGACATAATTAGCCAACACAGAATCCAACACACAAAAGTACCACAAGGGGCTGGACAACAGGTAGGGCACTTGCCGTGGACACGCCTGACCCAGGTTCAAGTTCCAGCACCCCTTATAAAGTCCACTGAGTCCCGCCAGGAGTGCTTCCTGCGCACAGCAATCAGGAATAAGTTCCGAATACCCCTGGGTGTGGCCAAAAAGCAAAAGGACCAGAGAGATGGTACAGTGAGTCAAGAGCTTGCTTGGCGCAGAGTCAGCCCAGATTCAATCCCCAGCACTGCAAAG